TGAGCTGACAAGCACTGCAATACAGTACATGGCATTTGGAGCAGCTTTCAAATTCATAAACAACTGATTTGATTGAAATCAGCTCAAACTTTCTACACAACATGAGAACATGTACATGTATGTGTATGAGGAAAAAAATTAATTATAAAAAATAGAAAATTCTTTTCTAGTCATTTTTAATGAAATTAGGCTAATGACCTCACCAAAGGCCTTTGGTTGTTGGTCCATATTTTGAGCAACTTCAAATATTTTGTAAAAAATCCAAATTTGATTAGAATCAGTTCAAACTTTCTACACAACATGAGAACATGTACATGTATGTGTATGAGGAAAAAAATTAATTATAAAAAATAGAAAATTCTTTTCTAGTCATTTTTAATGAAATTAGGCTAATGACCTCACCAAAGGCCTTTGGTTGTTGGTCCATATTTTGAGCAACTTCAAATATTTTGTAAAAAATCCAAATTTGATCAGAATTAGTTCAAACTTTCTACACAACATGAAAACATCTACATGTATCAGAAAAAATATAAAAGTTTAAAATTTCTCTTTTTTAGCCATTTTTGACCCAACGACCAAAGGCTATAGCCTTCGGTCGTCCATTTTTTGAGCAACTTTTAAAATTCATAAAAAATCTGATTTTTATTGAAATTAGCTCAAACTTCCTACACAACATGAAAACATGTATACATATCTGGATAAATTATAAAAATGGAGAATTCTCTCTGAGTCATGTTTGACGAGATTAGGCCAACGATCGAAGGCTATAATAGCCTTCGATCGTTGGTCCAATTTTTGAGCACCTTAAAAATTTGTAAAATAAGCTATATTTGATAGGAATCATCTCAAATTTTTTATACAACATAAAAACATTTACACGTATGTGTATTAGAAAAAATTATAAAAATGAAGAATTTTCTATTTGTGATTTTTGTCAAAGTGCCCTAATTTTGAGCAACTTGAGAATCCACTGACAAGAAGGTGCTTGAGCACTATTTCAAAATCCTATGGAAAGCCCTGCATACACTCATGTACATGTACAGTCAGGGATACATTGAAAGTTATGTTTCTTTTTGTCTCATAGCTTAGGAATCAATTTTATTGTAGTTTATCATGTGCAAGATACATGTACATGTACCTTACATAATTTAAGCAGTAACTTTTCCCTATAGTTGTTATTCTAACTGAAATTGGTTTACGATAATAGTGTGGTCTTCACAAATTGGTATGCAACTGTGAAATAAAAGCACAGCAAAATATTTAAAAAATTTCTAATTAATTTTTTAAAGTCAACCTAGCAAAAAATTTATGAGACTTATGCTCTATGAATGCAAAGAAGTATTTTATTATTCTTTTCTTTATTTCCAGGTTGTTGTTTCTAATCCTCGTCTCTATCCTTATTATCACAAGATTGGTAGAGGAGTCATTCACAGAGGACAGCATATGCATGGTGCTATGGACATCACTGATGGCACAAGGTACAACATTATTGTTTGGATGAGATCGTCTTCTGTGCGTAACAAACTTTGTCCACGTTGTGATCAGTCACCAACTCTTATACCATTTGAAGGGT